TTCCCCCTCCCCTGTCCGATCCCCCCCCTCCCCTGTCCGATCCTCCAGCGCTAACTGGAGGAACGGACGGGGGAGGGGGCGGGTACAGCTGGCTCTGCCTCTAGATAGGCGGAGCCGGCTGTCAATAACGCAGCTGGGTGGATCTCGACAGTAATGTCAGGATCCGTCCCGGCTGCGGCGTCTCAGTATACCGCGAGCCGTAGCTCGCGGTATACTGAGTTTTGGCTGACGCTAGTTTGTGTCCTAGTTTGTGTCCTCCCGTTACCCTTAGGAGAACTATGGGGAAAAGCCCTGACCCCATAGTTCTCCTTTAAGTAGATCTCTTTGTGACACCAAGCAATGCCAAAACCAAGAAATTGTTTATCATTTTCCTGACCAATGCTCTAATACAGCCCTGGAAGTTTGATCTGGGATATGCCTTTCCTCCTCTGCCTCTTCTGCATTTTTTGGCTTGTCTTCTGAAGGAGGACATGACAGTAATCAGGGTGGCACCCTACTGGCTGTGTAGGCCTTTATTCCCACTGTTACAACTGGCCATATGTCCGCCCCATCGCCTACCAAGAATGTCACAGCTTCTGTGTCAATGAGAGATATGCCCCCCTAGTCTGGCCTTGGCAGCATAGAAATGGACAGATGGGGTTTGGAACAATTTGGGAGTATGGAAAACATTGTCTCAACACATTTGAGACCAAGAAGCCAGGCTACCAGTTTCATGTATCATCGGATCTGGGTTAAGTTGGCTCTTCTCTCGTGACAGCAAGCCTTTGAGTCACTAACACCTCAAATCAATCACCTACTTTCATTTTTACAGAAAGGTCTAGACATGGTCCTAGCATTAAGTTTCCTTATAAAATTTAAATGTTTGTGACGTTAGCGGTCAAATGGTTTGCCCACCGTTTCATGAAAGTGGTTTTGAGCATTCGACCTGCAAGAATGATTTTTTTTTCCCAAAGTGGGATCCAGTCTTTTTACTAGTTTTCCATTTAAACCCTCCGTTTCAAGACACTTATCAGTGTTCTCTATAGAACTAGACTAT